CACTTCAATAAATCAATTCTGTTGCCAGCAAGTGTCTGAATAAAGTCTTTTACATTGTGGAGAACGGAAATCCACTGGTGGCAGTGAGAAAGAGAAGGAGCTTCTCAGTTGATATCTGCTGGTGAGAGGACGGCATGAGCCTTTGTTTGAGGAAGCAAGGGGCGCGTGGGTAAACGTCCCACCAGCATCCATCCACTGGTGTAAATTTCAGCAGCAAATTGCCAGTAGATAAGTAGTTAGCATTTGCATTTGTTGTCATACACAAAGTTATACAACTGTTGCATTATAGCAAACATGAACAATTTATGGATTTATGCCAGTGCAGCAATGGCAGGAAGTGTAAGCAATAGGATACTGGCAAATCAAAGAAGCTCTGTTCAACTGCTCTCTTCAAGCTTGAACTCTACATAGAAAAAGAGGAACAGGGAAACCTGTGTTAGCTCTGCCCCCCTCCTCTAGCTTATGGCTCCCTCTATAAGGAGTGGCTGTAGGCAAAGGGGAGCTTTTTTTACCCATGAACACTCTCCCCGGGACCTTAAAACACTAATTTTCCAACAACACACACTGAGTGCAGAGCCACAGTTAACAAATTGGGAGGCTACCAATGTTCCCTTTGAGGAGTTTTAAGAGCTCCACTGGGCTTGTGCACAGGGAGCTGGTTTTTTACTTCCCGTTTGAGATGAAGCCCCGTCGCAACGCACACACATAGGGTGAGGCTCCTGCACAGTGTGAACACAAATTAGAGGGAACTTGGAGCTACATTCTGAATCAGTTGTTATTTGGCTTAGAAAGCACAAGAGATTTGTATCAAAATCATGAATATACAGTTTCTAACACCATATTTATATTTCCAGCAAGAAGAAATTGTGATTAAAAGACTCAAGATGAACAAGTCCCCTGTGCTACAGAATTGCTTCTAAGTGTTGATCGTGAAAATCTGTGTATTTTACATGTCTGTACAGAATCACTTTTTGAATGGAAAATAATGAGGAGTGCTACCACCTGGAAAAAGCACTTATCTTTGCCTTCAGAAGAATTCTACAATACATTTTCTAAAGAAGCAGTATTTGCCACAATGTTCGTAACAGACACGAAACAACATAATTATCTTAGTATTTGTAGAGAGATATTTCCCTTGGGCCTTGAACGCTTATTTTCACAGTACTACCAGTGCTATTGAAAGAAGCAAAAATGTAGTGGGAACCTAACATTTGAAGTTACATTTATCTTTGCCTCATTGATTAGACAGAGCAGCCCTTTGCTTCTGTGTACAATACAATATGATAAGCCATGACTACATCATACATGGATGCATAATTTACATAAAATAAATGGAGGACATAAGCCCTTTATAAATTTATAATGATAATACTCTATCACTCAGAAGCAATGTCAACCCTCTACTCTGCTACTATAAAACTAATAATACCCTTGCATTCGTATAGCAGTTTTTAAGCAATAAAATGTCAGAATGGTACAACTGTAAAATGTAGTCAGTTTGTATGTATTTTGTCTACAAGCTGCATGCGTTGAACAACTCATGAGGTAACAAGAAATGGTGAAATTTCACCTACTCTGTCTCAGTTCTCTCACACTGCAGTTCCTTCAAACTTGCATCTTGGAAGTCAACATCATCTGGCAGGTGTCTAGTTGTTCATATGTTGTGTACTACTGATCAATGTGTTCCATGTAACACACCGTAACAGACCAGTCAGAAACTACAGTTGTATTATTGTATACAGATAAGCTTTTGCTTTATTTTAGTGCCTTATCCCATCATAAAGGCCTACAAATTAACAGAACTAAATACTACCATGTTTCCCCGAAAATAAGATAGGGTCTTACATTAATTTTTGCTCCAAAAAACACATTGGGGCTTATTTTCAGGGGATGTTTTATTTATTTTTTTCATGTACAACAATCTACATTCATTCAAATATAGTCATGTCTTCTTCTGGTTGCTACACAATGGTGGAGGGCAGGGTGTCATTTAACCGGGGCTTATTTTTGTGGTAGGGCTTACATTACGAGCATTCTGAAAAATAATACTAGGGCTTATTTTCAAGTTAGGGCTTATTTTCAGGGAAACAGGGTACTTAGGGATGAAAAGGTAGACTCACACTATTTATGCTTCAGGACATCATCTCACAGAAGCAAAGAACTGATTTGAAACAGTTCAGTATGTGCCTCACAACCATATACGCATCAACCATAACGTCTCAGCACCAGTCATAAGGTAAACCAGTATACAATGAGACTATTCAAACTAATCCATCTCTGACAGACAAACATGGTCTCTAAATAATTCTGAGATGAGGAAGCAGTTCACAAATTTGCCCCTAATGCACGCACTATGACTGATGTCATCTCATTCTGAAAGTCTGAATATCAGTTAGGCAATCACACATGACTGGTTCAGTCCAAAAAAAATATTTTCTGTTATTTCAGAAACAATACATGCTATCCACCTCTGGGTCATTAGCTGTTAGATCAGATGTTAGATAATTCCTATCTATTGGAATGTGATGGAAAGGGTTGTCTGTGATCGAGTGGTTTTGTGAATCGGTAAGTAGAAACAAAAAGTATGGTGGAATGATCATTGTTGCTAAGATGGGAATTGGGTTGAGTCTCCCCAAACCAACTCTCTCCTCCTAATAGTTTTTATTGTTCCTGGGGGGAAAAACCCACCACAGTTTTACAGTGGATCACAGATATCCTGAATTTGTTGGAATAAGGCATTAATTCATATAGCAGATGATTTGCATTCTGCACCAATGATGGAATGGGAGAGTAATTCACAGACAGATAGCATGTGTTCATTCACAAAATGATACCATGCAAGAAAAATAAATATTTTTACACCAGAAATAGAAACTCTTTTCAATATCTTTTAATGGCAGAGTTAAATTTCAGACCTTCGTTGGCTCTCAAACTGCTACAATGTTTACATTTAGAATGCTGGTCTTTGTAAGAAAGTCAGGAAGTCAGACTTTTTTCCCTTTGAAATGGCTGTTTTCAAAATCAGTATTGGAGCCATGGATGCCTGAATCCCTTCAAAATAAAAAAGGGAAGCTAGGACTAGCAATTCTCTGTCAAGATAAGCAAGTTTGGTCTTTTCAGTGTGTTTGATCTGTTTTAAATCTGCAGACATAGAAGATTGCCAGCATCTGCATGGAGGAATAAAACAGGCTAATTAAAAAAACATAACCTGTCTGCTATATCTTTGCCAAATTTGGTGTGGATCAGAGCTTTGGTTTCAAAGTTATAATTTTTGGGGGGCTCCCCTAGTTTTTGAATTGTCTCGTGGAATGCTGAATTGCTTGTGCAGCAATAATACAAATGTAACAAAAAACCCAAACAGTTTTAGCAAACCACCTTATTATTGTTGTTGTTGTTGTTGTTGTTGTTGTTGTTGTTGTTGTTGTTGTGTTCTGGCCTTGTGAATAAATTTTCTGTTTCTTGTTCAACTATTGCCTGAGTCTATTTAGGTAGAGGAAACTGGAGGAATCCTCCACATAGCTATAAAACTGAGAACCCACATAATCCTATCATGGGGGATGAGTGTTATTCTGTGTAGAAGCTCACAGTGGGTCTGAATGAAGAAATAACCAAGGCCACAGAAGCCATGGGGAATGAAAGGTGGATGCCAAATGGTCAGCTAATTTGGCAGCAGGATTTTAGATAGACTCAGGCAGTGGTCAAACAGAAAACAGACCATTTTATTCACAAAGCCAGTATACAGTGATAAAACAAAATAAGCTGCTTGACAAACAGCATCCTCAGAGCAACATCACAAACATCTTCATTATGCTTCTTCTGAATATATATATTAGTGCACATCTGACCCCTACAATTGCATAACATGAAGCAGACACCCAAGATAAAAAAACAGAACGTTGATAACTTTGGGCTAAACCCAATTGTTACAACAAAGAGCAGACCCACTGAATAAATGGGACCTTTCCACTGTTACACAAGTCCCCTCTACAGCCTACTCGAATTGGGAATAACAGCTGCATATTGTCCTTTGTTTTTAGTAAAAGCAAGGGTGGATTTCTCCCAAAAATGACTGCAACAAAAGCAAGGCAAATTGTGCTACCTATACACCGCCTTACAGGACTTCAAGCATTTTGCTGGGCAGTTTGCAAGTTAATTATGCAGGCTACACATTACCCCCCTCCCCAGCCAGCTGGATACTCATTTTACCAACCTTGGAAGGATAGAAGGCTGAGTCAACCTTGAGCTGGCTACCTGGAATTGCACCCCGGGGTTGTGAGCACAGTTTTGGCTGCAGTGCAGCAGTTTAACCACTGCGCCACGAGGTTCAATAACACATATTCAAGTTAAACAGAACCAGAAGTAGGTGTTTACGTATACTCAAAAGGAAGGAGCTCTGTATTCTGATTTAGATATCCTGACAACATTATTCATCGTCCATTTCACTTGTCAGAATACTCTTTGCCATCAGTCAGTGGAAGAAGGTGTCAGTCACCCAGAGTATAAGAAAGATCAATAACCTAGAATCTTTTCCCTGCATTTGAAAAGCTCCAGCTGGTTGAAAACAAGTAACTCTGAGGCTCCCCACACTAAGTCAATTTCTCCTGTGCTGACCCAGTGCTGATGACATCCTAAAATATTGATTCATGGACGATTTCTTCCTTCTTGTTGTATTTACTTAATCCTCTTGAAAATAATACTGGAATAAATAAGCTTATGTGCTTACCTGAACTTTTAACAAGGAAGACAAAAAAAGCACATCCAACCTGGTCACACTTCATATCATGTATTTCATGCCTATTTTTCTTTGCTAAATCTCTTCTTCCTTTTCTTAATATTTAATTTAAAATGGAAGTGCTACCCTAACGTAATAATTTCATTTAAGCAGAAATTAGAAAACTCATTTTTAAATTACTGGCCGTTCCATTGACACATTTTATTTCTACCACTTTTTGTATTTTTAAACATTTTAGCTATAAAGAAATGTTGTTTAAGAATCCAACCTGGAATGCCACAACCTCTGGGCCGCCCTTCAGCCCTTCCATTGCAAAGGTCTCCAGGTGCAACTTAGGTAGCTGGAGGGTGAAGTCATTCCTGGTTGCCACAGTCCGTGACAGCGAGATCTGATCTCTGACCTAAAAGGGAAAAAACAGTATCAATGGTAATTCCCCTGCAGACACATTAACTGGGATGAAGTGGGTCCCCTTGAGTCCACTGAGTGGACTTGCATTGATCGCTGGACCTGAAATCCATGAATAAATTTAGGACTAATTGATTTTTCGTTGCAAATAAATCTCTAATTCAGAGTGCAAGGAGAGAATGTTAAGAAGAAAAAGCATCCTCCTCTCTACACTGAAATGAAATGGGAAGGAAAGTCACTAAAGGCATCTTGTCCAACCAGGACATAAAATTCTACAAACAAATATACTGTTTACAATATGGGGTTAAAGAAATTAAAACATAAAACTGCATGTAGTAGGCACATTGTGCATGCAACAATAATTCCCTATTTTATGAAATAAAGATTTGTCATCTATCCAAGAATAGCAAACACATCACCAAAGGAGACCCCACGCCAAACCCAAATTGTTCTGATATTCTTAAACAGAGATTTTATTTTTAAAATCTTGTAAAATACTTTAATTTTCTTTTGTTTATGTTTATTAGCCAGTTAGACTGGAAAGCTCAGAACTATATTTGACTGTGCAGGAGTAAAACCTCAGTTAGTGAGAACCTTATCAGAAATATTATAGGTGTCTGCAAAAAAATTAGTTCAAAACATGAATCAGCATAGCATTGGACTACTTGCACAAATAAACAGCTCTGAAGGAAATCAGTATTGTTTTCCAAAACACAACTAGTTTGGATGTAAAGTATTTCAAAAGGCAGTGTTTAAAGAAACGAAGGCTCATCACTCTAAATGAGAGTCATTTTATTCATGTAGAATATAATCTTATGCTGTTGGTATTGCACTGCCACCTTCTGTTAAGGTGAGAAATGCCTTCCATCATTAGGTGTTCAGTAAAAATACAAAGCACAACATGGTTTGTAAATATCTTTTACTACAGGTTCTCATGGCCATAGTAGATTCACATCAAAACCAACTATAATCCTGGACATAATAGAAAATAAACTTTGCTTGGGTAGATTGGCTACTATCAGATCTATCAAATAAACTATCAAATAAACCATAATTTATCTAACAGGAACAAGCAAAGTAAATCTTGAGCTAACACAATCTCTCCTCTTCCTCCAGTGTGATGAAAACTGTTAATACTGTAGTTTAATTAATTAATGAGGTTTGCATTAAATTAAGTTAGACTTAACTATGATTTGATGGAACAAGCCAGCTTGATGACCCATTGGCTGAAATCTTCTTCATAGCATAAGCCAAAGTGTAACTTTCTGTCCATTCCTCCCTGGCAAACAAAGAAGTTGCTGCCATAATTCTTAAGCACACGCATGTATACACACAAGGCAGTTTGCGTATGCACTCTCAAGAATAGTGGCAGTGGTGCTTTGTTTACCGGTGGGGGGGGACAGATGGGAAGTTACAGTTTGGCTTATACTACAAACAGGATTTCAGCCATTGTTTGGAACTGGCTTGTTTTAAGCCAGTGTTTGTCAGATTTGAATAAACTGAACAGGAGTAATTAATCAACACTGGAAGAAAAATTTCTGGACTGCAATGGAAATAACTTTCAAACAACATGTATAGAATCACAATATAATTACAATTAATTTAAGGGAATGTTCATTACATACAGTGTATTTGTTCAAATATGTTTATACATGTATTTCTAAACTTTACTCTAGGTGGAATCCAGTTCTATGCATTTCACTATTATTATTTTTTCTTATTTTGCCAAAACAATCAATCAATCAATCAATCAAGCAAACAAACAAACAAACAAACAATGTTCACATAATGTCTATGGCTGAAATTTTGTAGAGTGGAGTCTGTCTGAGCAACAGAAATGATGCCATTAGCAGCAATAAACTGCGGCTGATCAAAGGTTCCTTTTTGCTACCTCGGGATGCCTGCAACTTTGTGACATTGCGCATGGGGACATGCACATCTCAAAAGTGCAAAAGGAAGCCGATAATCAGTGATAATCTGCCACTGCTAAGAACATCATTTTCACAGCACAAGCAGAGCTGAGCAACAGGATTTCAGCCTACATATTACGCAGAATGTTCATCTTTGAAATAAAAATTATTGTCTTCTAGTAAATTGCTTTTCTTACTTTTTCTACTACATATTCAATTACAGTGAGAGCAGGGTCAAAAATAAGCCTACATCGTATGCACTACAAACACAGATTCTGGTCATTTCAACAATTTATGAACAATCACCCTGGTACTAATGAACAATTAAGATAGTTTACATAAAAGTAACATCATTTTTAAAGAATCACATTTTAAAATCCCAATCAGGACATGTTTCTTTCATCTTTTTACCACTATTATTTTGAAGACAGCCTTAATTGTTTTTGCATCCCTAAATGTACATGTGAAGGGTTTCAGTCCAAAACATTTGATTTATAAATCTTGTAGATTTTAAAAAATGTATTTGTTTCACTATTACTGTCAGTGTGTACACACATACACACAGACACACTATCTCACACTTGTGAAGGTGTGAGGTGCAAGTGTTAAGTGGACTTTTATAGATTTGCAGCACAAGGTACAAACATACAGTCTGTACTATATAGTCTATGGGAATAAAGAGCCTGACATTTCCCTGGCTGACCTGAAGAATTCCTGTCAATACCTGTGGCTGGCAAACTTATGCACTATAATGCAATTTTTATAACAGCACAGGTCCGACACACATTTCTATACATAGCGTTCTAGGCTGAGAAGAGAGAGTCCAGTGGAACAAACACAATCTCCAGGGTTTTCTGTCAGCATGTGTAATTTTGTTCTGACGTTAATCTTACCAATGTAATACAAATGTGCTATTTTCACTGTATCTCCAATAATACATATTTCACTTGATTTGTTCTAGTTTATATATGCTAACTTTTCAGTTTCTCATTGTAGCCAATGTGCACATAGATAAAAGAGAACATTAATGTGGATTAAAGTACGAAGAATTTATCAACATCAAACCACCAGTGTTTTGCCTTCTACCCTTCTGAACCATAGTCAATAGATCTAAATATTTTACTGCACCCTGGCCAATTCATTGTTTGATGTTTAAAAACGCACCCAGAATCAAAGAAAATTTATTAAATTTGAGCCCCCAAATGAGATACTATTAGCTTTGAAAGTCAAGTTTAACTGCGATATTGATGATTCTCTTTTTTCTGTGACAAAATTCACCAGGGAGATCCCTGATGTCAAAGTACCAAAGCAGATTGCTAATACTGAACCGGGGGGGGGGAGGGGA